CTTCTTAGGAAAGATATGACATTTATCTTGCTACTTGTGGAGCACACAGAAGCAGTAATGTCATAACAGGACATGTAAAATACTCTGCAGGAGATTATACATAAAGTCTTAATCACAAGGAAGGAACTAATCCAACAACTGAGCGAGAGCTTCATAACTTAACAGTCTCTTCTTGATCACAGCATGATTGGGGAAAGAATCACACTTAGCTAGAGAAATCTGAATTAAGACTTAAATGGGGAATACATGATCACCTACACAACACCACACAACAATCTGGAGGAAACCCACCGTCCGATTAACAACCATGGGGGAAACCGTGCGCAAAATCTGCAAGAGTAACCATAGGAGGCTCCTTGGATGAGAGAAAATTTCATGCTTTAGAAAACGTCCATTCTTGGACCAACTGATTTTATTCATCTGATGCACAAAATCACAGTAAAAAAAAACCACAGTAAAAAAAACCCTTTTGCAAAATTTTCAAAATCATGTTTTATTATTAATTTCTTTAATTTTTTTGTTTTGAAAATTTCTATCAATAATAAATGAAATTTTTGTAAGCAAAATAAAATAAGATATGCAAAGAATTGGATAAAGACTCAAACTTTATTAATATAATGGTAGTCTGCAAATGGCGTAACTTCATAGATGATTACAAAGTTTGGAAAATAGTAAATACATAGAACTGGTACATTGAAATGTAAGGACCATTATTCTCCCTAACTACTTTGAATTCATGTGCTTAAGCTTCAGTTGAAGAGCGATGAGAATCTGAGAAGATTTTTGCTTCAATGATTGAGTCTTTCCTGATGCAGTTACTTGCCAATAATCCATAACTTTTGCCTAGATTTCCCTTGCAGGTTTTCATTATACGAGGATGATTTATTCTATTTATGTCTCTGACTTTTGCCTAGACCACCCTTTTGGGTTTTCATCTTACCGAGACACTTATTTTTGCCTAAGCTACCCTTTCGGGTTTTCAACCAAGCGAGCTGTTCTTTTATTATTTTAGAAGGAGTATTTCTTGATTGCATCGGAATTCACAAAATGTGGGAACTCCTCACCATCCATAGTTTCAAGAACCAATGCACTACCAGAGAAGGCTTTCTTGACAACATATGATCCTTCATATTTGGGAGTCCACTTGCCCCTAGAGTCAACATTAAAAGACACAATCTTTTTGAGCACAAGGTCGTCTTCTCTGAATTCACGAGATTTTACCTTCTTATCAAATGTTTTCTTCATTCTTTTATGATATAACTGACCATGACATAAAGCAGTCATTCTCTTTTCTCTTAATCAAATTCAACTGGTCAGACCTGTTATGGACCCATTCGGCCTATGAAAATTTAAATTCTATTATTACACGCAAATAGGGAATCTTAACCTCGATGGGAATCATTTCTTCCATGCCATAAACAAGAGATAAAGGCGTTTCCCCTAGTGAAGTACGGACGAATGTACAATAACCATGCAAAGGAAAAGGGAGCATCTCTTGCCAATCCTTATATGTAAAAACCATCTTTTAAATGATCTTCTTAATATTCTTATTTGCAGCTTCAACAACCCCATTCATTTTAGGCCTGTAAGGAGAAGAATTAAGATGAACAATCTTGAATTATTAGCAAAGGTCCTTCATCATCTTATTATTCAAATTTGAGTCGTTATCAGTGATAATCCTGCTTGGCACACCATACCGACATATAAAATTATTCTCAATAAACCGCACCACCACCTGCCTGGTCACATTAGCATAAGAAGCTACTTCCACCTATTTGGTGAATTAGTCAATTGTCACTAAGATGAAGCAATGTCCATTCAAGGCCTTAGGTTCAATCTTCCCGATGATATCAATACACCACATAGAGAAAGGCCATGGGGAAGAAATAACACTGAGAGGAGTTAGAGGCACATGAATCTTATCAGCATGAATTTGACACTTATAGCACTTCCTCGCAAATTTGTAATAGTCAGATTCCATTGTCAGCTAATAGTAATCTTCCCTTAGCATGTTCTTTTCCAACGAATGTCACTTATCATGGGTACCAAATGAACCTTCATGGATCTCATGCATTAATATGTCTATTCGTGTCTATCCATGCATATGAGCAAGACCATGTCATAATTCCTTTTGTACAACACATATTTATTGAGGAAGAAACTACCTGCCAACCTTCTCAATGTCTTCCTATACTTTTTTGATTCACCAAGTGGTTATTCTTGAGTCTGAAGGAAGTGCACTACGCCAAAAACGAGTTTTGGCACCGCTACATAGACAACGCTTATGCAAAAGCGCTGCTGTAGGTATCCAAAAAAAAATACTTTAGACAATGCTTATTAAAAGCGCTGCTATAGGCCTTATCAAAGGCAGCGCTTTTTCTCCCTAAGCGCTGCTATAGGGTTTTAAAAAAAATAAAAATTAAAAAATTAATAAAAGCGCTGCTAAAGGGTATGCTTTAGAAAGTGCTTTCAAAAAGCGCTGCTAAAGGTGTAAGTCTAAAAGCGCTGCTAAAGGGGGGGGGGGGGGGTAAACCTAAAGTGCTGCTAAAGGGGGGGTACCTTTAGCAGCGCTTCTTGAAAGCGCTGCCTTTGTGTAAATCTAAAAGCGCTGCTAAAGGGGGGTACCTTTAGCAGCGCTTCTTGAAAGCGCTGCCTTTGGTTTGTTAATTTATTTCTAAACCCTTAACCCCTAAATCAGATTTCCAGAAACACAAAATTAAACCCTCTCATTCGCTGTTCATCTTCATCTCCATTCGTCTCCTCCCATTCTCTCTTCATCCTCTCAACACTCGTCTCCTCCCAAACTCCCCCTGTCTCACTCCGACCATTACTCCCTTTGTTCCGTCATCTCTCAAACCCTCCTCTCAACCACTTCATCTTCATCATTACCAACCACCACCATCAATTGTCAACCGTCTCTATCCTTCATCCCTTCGTCGTACTCTAACCATTACCCTCCGCCTCGCATCAACGACACAATCACCAACACCAACAGCCTCCTCTGTTGCATCACCTTCGAATCTTCGGCCCACGGCTAATTCATTTTTTCAATCCAAGTAAGTGTTCCTATCATTAAAGCCTGTGCTTCTGGATTCATTTTTTGGTGTGCATCGTGACTAGAGTGTTTAGTTGAATGTAGGTGATTTATGTGTTGAGATTTTATGGATTCTGTGAGTTTTGTTATCAAACATTATCATAGGATTCTGTCAGTTTTGCTTCAGTAGGTAATAACATTGTTGTTTGCTCTATTAGATTATAAAATTGATGATTTTGTTTGTTCTAAACAGTAGGTAATAACTTAGGCTAGATCCCTTGTATATCTTTTTGTTACCAAGAATAACATAACTAGTAAAGTCTCTATCAATTGTGCTAGCAGCAATTGTGAAAGTCCAAGGTTCCAAATTTGCTACAGATGAGGGTTCAGGTCCTGAATAACATAACTAGAAATGATGAGATTTATTTGACTAATTATAATAGTATTTAATTTAACTTATCTTTGTTTTTAAGAAAATTAGATTTCACCTTTCATCTAATTTGGTTGATGCAGCAGAATGGACAAGTACGTCTATCTCTTCAAATATCTCATTTTTAATCTTTTCATATTTTATTCCAAAATTTTCAATAGCAACATCTCCAGCAATTGCTACAACTTTCTTTGAAGTAAAAGAATTAAAATCTTCACCCAACTCGGCTCGAAGCACGCGGAATAAATCGATATCAAAAACCTAATATCCGACGATTACATAAATTAAGTAAGAAAACAAATACTAAGTTTGTTCATTTTTAATAGTCTTTTTTTTAGTTTTAATTCTAATGGAATTATTTGTTTTTATTTATTTATTATAGTATGAATGATAAACCTCATTTTGCAAGCGATGTGCAGCCAAATCAGAGTTTGAAGCTCTTAGGAGTATATACCGTTTTTGTATGTCTTGTTGGATCCTTAGTATCTTTTCAATAAAAACTGCACATAAAGATAAGTTAAAAGATGATAATATTTATAATGAAATAAACTTTAGATGATTTTTTATATTAGAAACTTTGGTATATAGTACCTTTTGCCAAGAAACCAGTTGCGCCGATGACTAAAATAGTCTTTCCCTTGAAGAAGTGTTGCATGTTTCCAAAGTTGATTAGAGAAAAGAAGGAAAGTGGTAGTCAAGTTATGATTCAGTAATGCTTATTCGATGCCAATTGCCAAGTATTTTATTTATAGCATATTGAGTAAGTGGTTCTATGAATTAGTTTTAAAACATAATGAGATAGTGTATACATTTTAATTTTAGGAGAAAGCGTTATCTCAATTATTGATTATTATATATATATCCGTGTTTTTTATAAATAAAACCTTCATTTCTTCTTTATTCTTCACTTATTTTTTCAATTTCTTTCTAATATTTTTATCATAACTTTCAACATGATTCAAGGAATTCCCATGACCGGGTTGTGTGTAGTTCATATCTTTTATTCAAGAATATTGATACAACATCGGGGTGTTCTGTATTAATAAAAAAATATTAATATATAGAAACTATTAAAAGATTAAAATAAAATAACATTTTGCGAGGCGAATTATGCCGGAATAGAAGTCAGTAATGATCTCAGAATGATAAGGAGTCAACTTGATTGGTGAGGAAGTATATAGTATCCATGTTTGACCATTGTTAAGCTTAAATTTGAATTTTATGAGGGAATCATTTGAAGAAAAAGAAAGAATGGCATGAATGGTGGAAATGGAAAGAGGTGTCTGTGATACAGAAAAAGTCAAATAGGGACTTCCTCTAACAAAAAAGACACTGAGACTTGAAAAAGGGATATCTAAGGTAACACCAAGATCACTATAGGAAGAGATTATGTGTTTTCCATCACTACTTTGTTTGTTGTTAGATGTTATGGTGAGATCATTGTTGAAAACTTGTGAAATGACAGCAGAACTGGAAGAGCGAGTTGGATATGAGACAGAAATGGATGAGTTAGATGATTTGATGAGGTAAGGATGAATGTATTCAGGTTGGTCACCATTTTTGAGAGAGAAGTTTTGGAAGAAAGAGTTAGTAGGGAGGGGTGTGGATAGAAGATTTGAAGAGAAGAAGTTGGAGGGGTCAGGGAGGACAGTTGAGTTAGCTTGTGGGAATAGAAAAGGTTTGTTCTTGTTGATAGTAGACATTGTTGGTGATAGAAATGTTAATGTTGATGAATTGTGAGTTTTATAGAATATTTTATTGGCAACTACTATATCTACAACTTGCTTCATATAATATTGAAATTGTGAATTAAATTATAGCACAAGTTGATGGCGGCTAAAATGAGATAACAAGGTGGTATGTGTAAAGAGAAATGAGTGATTGATTGAAGTATAAGGTAAGGTACATGAATGTGACTAATCATCTAATAGGAACAAAATACATGATAGACACAAGTCCTTCATTCATGGATCTAAATGTATGTGATTAAGTGAAAGTTAAAGCTAGTGGAAGTCATGATTTTGTTGAATATGAACCTTTGTAGAATGTACTACTCAGTAGCTTTTGTTGTATTTCATGGAGAAGTTAATTATTGTATATACTTGGAGAGTATTATGCTGATTTAATAAAGTATAAATTGTGATACATGACAACACTTTTTTTTACACATGACAACACATGATTGTAGGCATTTGTTGGGTTGAAAATATCTTTATTAAACTAGAGAAGGATATGAAGAAGTGGGATGCTGAGTTTGTGAAGGTTGATCAGGATACACTTTTTGATCTTATTTTGGCTGCCAACTACTTGGACATCAAGAGTCTGTTGGATCTTACATGCAAGACTGTGGCAAGCATGATGGATGGTAGGAAACCGGATGAGATTCGCAGGACTTTCAACATTAAGAATGACTACACTAAGGAGGAAGAACAGGAAGTTTGTCGCGAAAATCAGTGGGCTTTTGAATGAAAACATATTTTATGATTAGGTTAGACATAGAGTTATGAGTTTAGGGAGTGAAGTTATGTTATGTTTTTTCTGTGTCTCAATTCAGGAACAGTTATTTGGATTAATGTTATGTTTGGTTTTATTAATCAAAGAGCTAAAATGCAATATGTGGGTTTATATATGATTAGTACTTGTTTATCTGGTTCTTTTCTGCATTGGTTCTGTTTGGAATTAATATTGAAACGGTTTGTGTATCTTTTCATATGCTTCTATTATTCTGATCTTATTCACAACTTGTGTTGTTTGTGTATATTTTCAGTTACTTCATTGGTTTTCATTTAGAATTGTAGCATTAATGTTGTTGACGCCCCTTGAAAGTTCAGGGCGTACTTAACTGTCTGTGGTTGTCCATGTCAAACGACAGTTCCAAGATAGGATTTTCATTGGAATCGGCTTGTCCGCCTAGCAGAGCCTGCTTTTTTTTAATATCAGAATTGTTGGATTTGTTGTTGGGTTGATATTTGTCATTTTATATACTGAATAGATATTTGGAATTATATATTTGGAATTAAATATTTGTCATTAGATACTAATGTTTTTCTTTATTATAGGTTAGATGGCGAGTAACGAGGAGCACCCTCACGATGATTCTATTAATGATGGAGACACTGATGGAGGAAAATCCAGTAAGGGAGTGGAAAAAGAAATAAAAAGAGGAAAAACTATAATGAAGAATATCATTCGTGATAGAGATAAGGGTATAAAATATGATGTGCATTGGAGTCCAAATGACCAATTAATTGAGCCTAACGGTTCTAAATTGACAAGTTACATTGGCACACTTGTAAGGAGAGAAATTCCAATAACTTATGATGAGTGGAGAGATGATAAGCTGAATGATGCTAAAAAAAAAATCTGGAGTGAGATACAGGTACTTTAAATTATGTCTTTAAATTACGATTATGTACTTTAAATTATGTATTTAAATTACTTATACTAACGCACTTTGTGTATGTTTTTTGTAGAGGTCTTTCAACATTGATGACAAAAGAAAAGATTATTGTCTTGGATTGGCCGGCAAAATACTGAGAGGGTTTAGAACATATTTAAACAGAAAATATCTTAGAGATGCCGAAAAAAAATTTGTTGATGCAGAGCGTCCAGCAGAATGTGCGGATGTGATTTCAGTTAAAGAATGAGATGTTTTTAAAGCCAAACGGAAAACCCCAAAATTTAAGAGTGTTAGTGAAGTAAATCGTCTAAGAGCATCATCTCCCGCATATCCATAAAAAAAAGGGCGTTTGGGATATGCACGATTAGAACAAAAAATAGTAAGTATTTACAAATTGCAATGATATACTTGTTCATCAATAGTTATAACTGAGCTTGTTTTTTGTGTTAATGTGTAGTTAAAAGAGGAGAGTAGTTCAGAAACATCTCTTCCGAAGCATGTTTTGTGGAAGGCTGCCCGTGTGGGTAAGGATGGAGTTCTCAAAGAAGATGTACAAATTTTTTTTGAAAAATGCGTAAGTATAACATTAATTCTAATTAAATCAAAATTTTACTAACATATAGTATTCATGTTTTTCCAATATTCATATGAATTTCAGGAGAGTCTGTCTCAGTCTACATCTCCACCAGATGATTGCAGGAGCATACTTAGTCGAGCATTAGATGTTCGTGAGTATTCTGGTCGGGTGAGGGGTAAAGGACATGGGGTTACTCCAACCTCCTTGAAAAAGAACAATCCAAAGACAAAATCTGTTAGAAATAAAGAACTGCAGGCCAGGTTGGATGCATTAGAAGCTGAAGTTCTTGAATTGAGGAAGGAAAAAGCAAGACAATACCAATCAGAAAGGGAAGCTTCGGGTGTTAAAGAAGCTAGTGACATAGCTAGTGTCAATTGTGCTGCTCAACCGAGTATTCCCGAGGTACTTACATATATTATTATGAAATTAAATTAGTGTAATTTATTTAACTGACATATATACACATTAACAATGTCATATTTATTATTGATTTTAGGGCATTTCACCTTGTCAACTCTTTTTAGAGACACCAACTTATCGCATGGTTGGCAAGGGAAAAGTCCATAACACTCTGGGAGAAGTACTTCATCATAAACCGCTCCCTTCTGGATATTTGAAAGTGTCGATTGATATTTCTTTAGAGGAGGGTGCGTTATTACCAATCCCAGATGAAGTTTCGGATGCAACATTGGTGGGAGAGGAAATAGGAGCGTTTGTTGCATGGCCGTCAAGGCTTGTTCGCATAGATGATGAGGTATAATTAAAACCTTTATGAACCTTTTAGTACTCAAATTTTTTACGTTCGTTTTACTTACATTTTTTTTTTGCATGGTAATGTTAGACTCCTACAAAACCCAAACCAAAAGATAAAGGGATTACGCGGCCAGAGGAGTCAGTGACAGCAAAAAAACAGGTACAACAAAGTTATATGATATTTATGCTTAGATAATGTTAATTTGTCGTCCTATACTTGACCACTCTAATTTTATGATATTTAGATTATTCCTGCTAAAGAGATTGAAGTTGTAAGGAGCCTATAATTAGCAACATTCCCACAGAAACAAAGAGTGTTGCTAAGAGGTTCGGGGCTAGAAAGAAAACTACTTCACAATATAGGTCGTGCCTTCAGACATTTATAAGCTTCACAACTATTTCGCAAGGTGGTACTTCTCTTATACCCCTGCATGAAGGGATTTATGGTTCTGAAGGCATGACATCAATTGGTAAGGAGGATTCAGAACAAGTTTTTGGACACTTGACATTAGGCATGGCTGTTATCAATACATACATCAGGTATACTCCAATCAACTTTGTTTAATTAATTGCAAAATTTATTTACTCATTTCAATGAATAATTAATGTTAATGATGTTTTTATTTAAGGTTTCTGTATGACAAGTTGATTCGCCCGCGTGGATTGGAGTCCAGATTCGCTTTCATAAATCCCAACATTGTCCATGCAGGGTCAATAATCGCAAAACCAGATGAAGTAATAGAATTTGTGCTCAGTTTATTTATGGCCAGCAAAGATACAAAAAAATTGTTCTTTTTACCATATAATACTGGCCCCAAGTAAGATTTTCATTCTAAATTACCTCTATTATAATTTTTCATTTTTTAACGTTGTGCAGAAAATTTCCATCTAACCTTTGTTTAATATTCCAGTGGACACTGGTTATTGGTTGCAATTAATCCTGTGAGAGAAATTGTATATTATCTGGATTCATTGGGCAATGATTGGACAACATACTCAGATATGAAGAAGACGATTGACACGTAAGTGACATTGTTCCAAAATATTACTGTGTATATTTAATTATTTATGTGCGATAGTTCTAAATATTCGTTATTATTTTATTATAGCATTCTACAAAGTTTTCGAGCACAAAGAGATATTCAAGTACCAAGGAGTAGAGTCAACAATATTTCTTGGATCAAAGTGGAGGTATAGATTTTCACAGTTTTGATTATATAGCGATGATACTTGATAAAACAAGTTAAGGTGTATATCTTGATGTATATCCGTATTTTCTTTCCATGTGTAGTGTCCTCGTCAGCACAATGGTGTAGATTGCGGTTATTTTATGTTGAGGTTTATGAAAGAAACTATTCTTTTGGACCGATTAGAGATTCCATCCACGGTATGAATTTCTAACTTAGGAATTATTTTCATATTTCTCATAAAATGACTTAGTATTTTAATTAAATCATACTATGTTATATTATTATGTAGTACTTTGATGAATTCAAGTGTGCTTCATACTCAAAAGATCAATTGGATGAACTTATGGAGGATTGGTGCCAATTTGTTATGGAGTTGAGAGTTTTATTATAAGGTATAACTTTGAGTTTTGAGAATATAATATATGTCGTTATAGTTGTGTTACAATATTATTGTTTTTGTTGTTGTTATTTGGTAACTTGTATGAATTTTGATTTTTTGATTTTTTGATTTTGTTTTCGGTTATATAGGTGCAGCTCGATGTAGAAGATAGAGTTATATATTCATCGTGGATTTTGTTTCATTGTTGTATATACTAATGTTGTTGTTGTGTATATTGTACAAAAAGGAGTGAAGAGATGAATATTGGTGTAGTTATAATATTGTTTCATTGTTGTATATACTAATGTTGTTGTTGTGAATATTGTGCAAAAAGGATTGAAGAGATGAATATTGATGTTGTTATAATATTGTTTCATTGTGGTATATATTAATCTTGTTGTTATGTATATTGTGCAAAAAGGATTTAAGAGATGAATATTGATGTTGTTATAATATTGTTTCATTGTGGTATATATTAATGTTGTTTTTGTTTAAAATGTTATAATGAAGCTATAATTTATGGTGCAAAAACGGTGAGAATAAATTTGATAGGAAGCGTTTTATTTTAAATGAAAGCGCTGTCTAAAGTGATTGAAAAAAAAAAGTTTAAAAAAAAATAAGGAAAAGCGCTGCTAAAGGGGGGGGGGGGAGGGGGTAATAGACAACGCTTTTCATGAAAGCGCTGTCTAAAGTGATTGAAAAAAAAAATTAAAAAAAAAAAAATGGAAAAGCGCTGCTAAAGGGGGGGTCATAGACAGTGCTTTTCATGAAAGCGCTGTCTAAAGTGATTGAAAAAAAAAATTAAAAAAAAAACGAGGAAAAGCGCTGCTAAAGGGGGGGTAATAGACAGCGCTTTTCATGAAAGCGTTGTCTAAAGTGATTGAAAAAAAATTTTTTAAAAAAAATGAGGACAAGCGCTGCTAAAGGGGGGGTAATAGACAGCGCTTTTCATGAAAGCGCTGTCTAAAGTGATTGAAAAAAAAAATTAAAAAAAAAGAGGAAAAGCGCTGCTAAAGGGGGGGTAATAGACATTGCTTTTACCAAGCGCTGTCTAAAGTGATTGAAAAAAAAGCGCTGTCTATACCTTTAGCAGCGGAGGTTTTAGCAGCGCTTTTAAGCGCTGTTAAATGCCTAAAAAAGCGCTGTCTAATCCCTTGTTTGGCATAGTGG